GGCCCCGCGGCGCGCGCGCGCCGCTGCTTCATCTACGACCGGCCGCCGCGCACGGCGTCGACGACGGCGGCGACGGCGCTGAAGCTGTGTCTCTTCGCGCGCGGCTTTGAGCAGCCGGACGTCGCCAGCCGGGCGGCGCGCGCGCTCGTCGTGCCGCGCATGCTGGCGCTGCGCTCGCGGCGCGTCGGCGTTTTCTCGCGGCACGTGCAGCTGCGCGCGCGCGACGCGGACCGCGTGCGCGAGATGTGCGCGGAGAGGGTGTACGTGAGCGGGTGCCGGCCGATGCGGGAGCGGCTGTGGTCCGCGGCGAAGTACGCCGTCGCTGGGAGGGGGAACGCGACCGTGGGAGGGGGCATGCGGAGGAGGGCTGAGGAGATGGTTGAGGGCGACGGGTGGGTCGAGGCGATGTATGAGGCGTATCCGTATGTGGATGGGGAGGGACGCCCGAACGGGACGCCCAGGGAGAAGTGGCTCGTGCCGGATTATGTCGTCAGGGCGGGCAGGCTCGAGAAGGACTTGGGCGAGCTGCTCGCGGCGATGGGGTGCGAGGCGCGCTTTCGTAGCGATAATGTGCACGAGGAGGAGGGCGCGGACGGCTTTCTGGAGGGCGTGCAGCTCGCGCACAGGGACGCGACGTACCGCCGCCTGAAGCGGCTGGCGAGGGAGGGCAATGCCCGGGGGCTGAAGAAGATCCGGGAATTCATGGCCGCGGCGGGGAGTGAGGATGTTCCGAAACGTGATAGGTAAGGAAGGCGGTCCGTTGTTTCCAGGGCATTTGCCCGAAATCAAGTAAATTATTCTCCGGCACGCCGCCCACGCGCCGCATTGCTGGACTGGCGCCCGGGGCAGGGCTCTAGGCGCCGCTGATGGCTGTCGCGGTGGCGGCGTCTGATGGATGACGCCGACCGCTGGGACGGCCGGTGCTTTCGAGAGGCGCTTTCGAGAGGAACCGGAGAGCCGGCACCGCAATCCGCCCTAGGTATACAGGATTGCGGGCCCCGCTCT